ATTTTTTTCTTTGACTGATACATATTCATTCATTTCTTTTATCAGAATTTGTAAACTCATTCTTACAGATCTTCATTCATTTCTCTCGCATATCGAATAATCGGATCGTTGTTGCATCATTCTTTCGTTAATTGTGCTTAAAGCCAAATTTCTTGATCAATTTTTTATCTGATCATTGTGCTTTAAAGAAATAATATTTTGATCAATTTTTTTATCAACTGAGCATACTATTTTAGGAGGGACTGAGTGCTTATCAAAAATACCTCTATGGAATGTCAAAACCGCAGACCTACCCAAGTGGACAACCATATCTGAGTGAGCTTAAATACAAAAGGGTTTGTGTGCTGAGACTAAAATGAAAAAGAGAGGGGTAGTTGTTGTGAGCTAAAAGAATTGACGAGAGTTGTGTCAGGATTAAAAGAAAATGAGAATTCTGTTCTAAACTTCTAAAATCCGGGCATACCACATAATCTATTAGTTCTCGATTTTTTTTTGGAGACTAATATTGAAAAAGGCAAAGCCCAGGCCAATTCTTGTCACAACTCCATCAACTACTCATTTATCTCTCAACAGATAAGTGTTTCAATAACACTTGGGGAACGCAGCTCATCATCTATCAATTTCTCATTCGGAGAAAGTTGATATTGAATCAGAAGGATATATGTCCCCCCCTTCAAGTCTTTTTGATTATATATTGAGTCTGATAAATTTGTGTAGTCCACATGATTTATCTTTTTGAGCCTAAACAGAAGCATTAGTTGCTTTATTTTTCTACACTACACAAATTTAGCATTTTATATGTTATTTTGCCAAAACATTCATAGATATGCTTTTCTTAAGTTATTGATGATTGAATGGAAGATCTGGTGAGATGAGCATCAAAAAGTCTCATATATACAGTACATCCGTTGTACTGAGTATATCTGTTATACTCACAGGCCAATCTTTTTATAAGATTGAAAACAATTTCATTCGTTGAAATTGGATGTTACCTTCCCATTCTCTTAATCTCTTAATCTGAAAAGATTAAACAAGTGGATTTGCAAAGATCTACTTACATCTTCATGAATTGACGGCTTATGCGGAGAATTTCATTCATTCTTGTGTATGATAATGATTCTCATTTCATCATAAGGGGGAGTATGTAATAATGAATGAAATATTCATTTTCGAACATTTTAAAGGGAATCTGATGCAAAGATTAAGGGGGAGTAACTTCAAGTTTGGCAAAAGACTCAAAAGAAGTGCAATTGGAGATAATTACAGAAAGATTATTCGTGTGCTACAACGACTGAGAGTTTTTGAATGAGAAGATTACTATTTCAAAAGTTTACCAAAGAGAAAGTTTGAGATTTTTTTATCTGAAGATCCTTTGAAGATCAAATCTTGTACATTGTTTCTGATGATTACTGTTCTACATTGTCAAAAGAGAAGATCATCGCTGTTCTACATTCGAGGGGGAGAATGCTAGAAGATCTTACTCAACAGATAATTGCTTGAAGTTTTCAAGTTGAAGAATTCTTTTGATAAGGACATAATGTGCTTAAAGCTTCAAAGTTCAAACAGGACTCAAAGTGCAAAATTTATTTCATGTCTGAATACAAAGGGGGAGAATGTTAGGACTAAAAATCAGTATTAAATTGTATTCGTCTTGAAAGATAAAATTGTCTATAATTATAAAAGTCATCATGTTTGACTTTTCTTAGATAGGTTTGACTTTGACTATGTTTAGTAGTTTGACCCTATAAATAGGGTAAAGTCTTTGTAATTTTGTAAGAGAGAGCTTTATTGTAAATTCATATTACGTAATAAGAGGTTGACCAAGTATTGATTGTTGACTTTCTCTCTCAACTCTCTTATATGATGTTCTTGAAGATTCATCAGATCTGTCATGGTTATGAAGCTTTCATGAAGATTGATCACTAAAAGGGACACACACAAAACCACTTCTTTTCTTTTGTGATCACCAAGAAAAACATACAACTGAATTTGTTTTGTGTGTTATCAAAAACAAGAGAAACCAAAACAACTTTTGATTGTTTTTGTTGGCTGTCAAAACCAAGAGATAGGAGCGAGAGTTTTTCAATAATAATTTAGGGTTTAAATTAAGTTAACTAATTAGGAGATTAAATAAAATCTAATAAGTCTAATAATTATATAAATTTTTTAGATTTTATCCAATAGCAAGTATGGACTAATTACTAGTTAGTCCCTCTAGTAATTCTAAATTAATTAAAACACTTCTAATTAATTATTTGTTAACCCTCTAAAATTATTTCTCGTTTTTACATGACTGGACTTTGTGAGCGACCCAATAGGCCCATGCATCTTTAGACTATTACTATTTTATTATGTTAATGGGTAAATCTCCAATATGTAACTCATCAGAGTTACACTGTCGAATTTGGGCATCGATGACTAATAGTAACATGTCCATGGTAATTGAGTTTCCTTTGAATGAATTTACTGGATCTTTATGTAACTTATAAGTCTATTTGATCTACTGATCACATTACCAATGATTAATATTACACTTGATATTTTAAGTTCTTTAGGGGATGTTTGGTTCATGGAATTTGGTAGAATTGAAAGAAATTGGAATGTCCAAATCTTTGACCAAATTCCAAATACCAATACCATGTTTGGTTCACATAATAGATGTGAAGGAATCCTTACAATTCCAACAAATTCCTTAAGTCATCACAATCCCACCACATATACCACGGATTTCAAATTCCAATCCGACAAATTCCTTAGCTCTCATCCAAATTCATCGACGCTGTATCCCGATTTGCTCTGCTCTGCTATGCTCGATCTCGTTTAAAACTAAGAATGGTAACGGGCCAGGTTCGGGCCGATTATTGGTGTCCCCTTCCCCGAAACCGATAACTAAAACCATCCCCATGACCGCCCTGATCCCCGATGGGATCTTATCGGGGATCCCCATTGGGTCCCCGCGGTTTCCCCGATACCCGTTGGGGAACCCATTAAGGTAAAAATCCTCTTTTTCCCATTCATCCTTGGTTATAATCGAAATCCAAACCCGAAAGAGATCTAAAAAAATTACAATATGTTAATTTTCACAACTAAAGGTAAATTACAATCTTTTTAAAGATGTAAGTTTAAATGTCTCAAACATAATTGAACTAATTACAAACAATGTATTAGATTACAATAGAAAACTAAACAGAACTTCAAACATCATACAACTAAAATCACGATTTCACAATTAGACAAATAAACTAGACTTTTTCGTGAGCCTTATTTGGGTTGTTGAAGTAAAATGGATAAGTTTTTTTAAAATTTTAATGTTACTATTTTCTTTTAATGATATTATATATATATATATATATATGTATATATATAAATTAAAATTAATATATATACGCATATCAGGCCGGGCCGGGCCGATGATCACCGTCCCCGTTAAAATCCCCGAATTTGTCCCCGATCCTCGCCCCGTCCCTGATAAGATGTCCCTGAACCTGACCCGAAAGTTTCGGTTTTCACTATCAGTTTCGGTTTTTTTTTTGCCATCCCTATTCAAAACTGCTCGATCTCATTCACTTTGCTCGATCTGGTATGCTCGACCTCTCTCTCTCTCTCTCATTCTTTCCATCCTAAAAAGGATTTTCTCGAAATGCCATCTATGTAATTTTTTCGTTGAATTCCGTGAACTAAACAAAAAAAATTCCAATTCCGTTAAGAATTCCATTCCAATTCCATCAAACCAAACACAATCAAAAGACATGATCAAATTTCATCAAATTCCCTCAAAGTCAAATTCATTTGATGAATTTCAATTCCATCGAATTATATTCTACGAACCAAACGCCCCCTTAGTGTTTGTTTATCATCTATCAAATCTAAAATAGGATCTAACATAGACTTTTAATTGTTTGTAAAGTTATTTATATGTCACAAAATTATGAAAATAAGTTCTTTAAATAAGAATAAATTCAAAGTTGGTCCACTTTTATGTAAGTTACCCTTACAGTTTCCCCAAGGCGATGTCATATTCTATATTTTGCAAGTTTTTCAATCATAATTTGTTTTTGCCAACTAACAAAAGCAAATATTAGACCATGCTAGAGCCAACTGTATTCAATTTGGTTTTTGACCATATATGTTTTGAAAAGTTTGTTCTCGGTTCAGTTTTCAAACCAAATCTAGTTTTTATGTTTTCAAATTAAAACACTGATCTTGAATTCCTGTTTACAATTCAAATTTCAATTTTTTGGATTTATATAATGTTACTTCAGTTCTATTAGCTAAAAACACCCTAATCCTACTTTACTTTTATTAATTGGTAGAATCGAAGACCCAACCTAGGACTTGAGTAAACCATACTGTAGCCAACTATATTCTATTTGGGTTACAATTATACATGTCTTTGAATATTGGTTCTCGATTCAGTAGGTCCAAACCAAACCAAACCAAACCAAATTTATGATTTTTTATGTCTTCAAATTAACAATCCGTAATTTTGAAAACAGTTTTCAATTCAAATTAGCTTAGATCAATGTTCAAAATGTCGTGAGGTCTGACGTGGCGGCAAGATCAAGCCTCAAGCCTTACTAGCATGACGAGGACGCAGTGTTTTTCAAGACTTTACATAAGACAACATATATATATATATATATATGTTTTTTATACATTATCCAATCAAATAATGATATTAAAAAATTTACATTTATATTAGAAAACGTCATGGCATGAGCTAGAAAAATTATAGACCTTATCATAATGATAGAGACACGTCCTACATCATATTCTATAACGAATGACACTTCACTTTGAAGGTTTGTTTGGATGGTTCGATTGTCAATTATATCAATAAAACACACACATTATTTTAATATTATTTTATGGGGAGTAGTAGCTTTGGAGCCAAAGAGTGGCAGCCGAGGTGATGTTCAACTGCCATTGCCTACAACAAACCGCCTTCAAAAAACTTGCCTTCCAATTCTTCTCTCCGTTCACCACCAACGTGTACGTGTCAGTCAGACCCTCTTCTACCAAACGCCACCCTTTTTTCTGATTAGGGTTTCTCTCGATTGAATCAAGGCCCACAAAAACACTATCGAATCCAATCGAATCAACAACCCAACCGTTACGGAATCATTACGCAATATTTTCAAATATTCATTAAATTCATCGCTACATTCATTTCAAATCCTCATTTTTGTCGATTTCCTTCTTGTTTTTCTCGCCCTTTCAGGTGGCGATTCTTCTTTTTATCAAATTCGGTTTCAATTTCTTCCCTTCTCTTGTTGATCAAATATCTATCGGCCTTATTTTAAAAAAAATTAAAACTAAGAATGTGAAAGTCAGTTTTGGGTTTTCTTTGAATTTTGAACTAACCTTTACTTAGGTTTTGATGAATCAATGGAAGGGATCAAATTTATTGATAAGAGTATCTGTGGTTGTACTGGGTATTTCAGCGAGTGTATTGTGTTTGGTTTCTAATATTAGCTAGGGTTTTTGTAACGATTGCTTGTTCGTTGTCAGGAGAAGGGATTAAATATATCACTATTCTTTTTTGGTTGACTCTTGGTGCAAAGATGAAACCAGATATTTTGGAGATGAAGCCGCAAGAACTTCGGTTCATATGTAAGCTGATTTCTCACTCTCGATCTCTTTCTTTCTGATCCGCTTGATTAAATGTTAATTCTGTTAGAAGTAAAAGTCGACTGACATGAAATTCGATGATGGTAAAAAGATTCAAGTACTAGGGTAATTTTGAGAAACTAAACTAGTAACCCTCATAAAATTGACAACCTGTGAGTTCCTTTTAAGGGCTTCATGTCTTTTACCTGCATATCTTCAAAGCCTATTTTGTCAAAGGAGACGCAAGGTCTTCGACCTTGCTTTGTTGAGGTTTGGCTTGTTGAATGCAAGCAACTTGGCTTGCCCTGACAACAAGACAACACACAGGAAGGTCGGGGGTGAAGGTGGCTTTTAAGTTCCAAGTAAAAGAAGTGAAAGAAGCTTCAATATAAAGCGTCTCTTTATCTTCTCCACCCTGAATGTATATACGCACATATGTGTATATGTATTTTTGAACATATTTAGAAAAAGGACCATGCATTTTTAGAAGGAAAGCGAACTATGCCAAATATACAGGAAAAGAAACTCATCTGACCATCTAAGAATTTTGAGAAATTTTGTGAAGGTTCAACTGGTAGATTTATAAGATTGTTGGTTACTTTCATGTACAAATGACCATGACTTGTATATAATTTCTACTGCCTTGTATGTTTTTGGCAATTCCCTATAGACATTATTACTTGAAAATCTTGTGAGTTTTCAACTTTTCATTTAAAGTAATCCAGGACATGTCATATGTGCAAGCGTAATTTTTCCTAACACCTTTGATCTTTTTGGCCATAGATGCCCCATTTCTCTCAAGCACTTGCCTATTGTATTAGGTGATAGAATTTTTTTATCTCCTTAACTCACCTCTCGAGTCTTGCCTTAGACAATAATGATCAGTCATGCTTAGATAGATATGCTTTTTTCACATTACTTACATAGATCCTGCTGAGTACCTTGCTTTGTGGTATGCCATGTCTAGCTAGTTGTACTCAAGAGTGAGGCTATGACTTACTAGAAAATGAATGTACATACAAACGTGCACATTATTTGTATAGAAGGATACTCATGCAATGCATCGAGACACATCTTGATTTCAGTGTTCTATTTTATTCTTTTTTTTTTTGTGTCAATATAATACAATTTTATGTGGTTTTGAAAAAACGATAATGTTTTTATTTTTAAATAAAATATAAATTTGAAAATATCATAAAATTTTGAAAAAAATTTATATCGATATCAGTATCAAATTAATATTTTTAAAAGTTCTTGTGTTTCGGTGTAATTTCCTTAATTAAATTTTTTTAATTATAATTTAATTTAGATTTACTAACAAAAAAGTTTAATTCAGGTTTAATAATATAATTTTTATATAGATAATAACTAAATATTCTGTTAGAACTCAATGATTATCCTAATTATATTTTAAATTTTTTATATTTAAAATGAGATGTTTATCCAATATTTGATTATGTTTATCTGCAGTTAGTTACATGAATTCAAATATGGAGCTTTAATAAGTTGTATTTATGCACAATTTACTTGTAATCTTAAATTTTAAGTAATATGCATCAATAAACAGTACTTCGTGCATAAAAAATGGTCTTTAAGAGTTTTTGTCAAATGTTTTATAATATAGTATAGATATGTAAGATGTATTAATATGTAACCATGCAAAGACACCCACTAATAGGTATCTTCACATTTTCTTGGCCTATAAATGTGACTGGTTATTTGTGATGCTAGATGATGTCTTCTTGCAGAATGTGCTAACTTTTTTATTTTGGTATTCCATGTTTCACACCAGTTGAACTGAAGAAACAAAGCTCATGTTCTGTTCAAATGATCAATAAAACCAATCACCATGTTGCTTTCAAGGTGCTGATGGTTTTTCCATGTTTCAGATTTCAAAGTTTGTTTTCCTTGTTGAACTTAGATAGCAGTATACATAATCACTTTGTTAACATTTTGCAGGTTAAAACTACCAATCCGAAGAAATACTGTGTCAGACCGAATACTGGAGTTATCGATCCGAATTCAGTATGTGATTTTACAGGTATACGCTTCTTCACTGAAAGGTTTAGAATATGTTTGGTTAAACTTTGCTGAACTGTCACTGGTTGAGGTGTTCTGTTTAGGTATATTAAAAGTAATTTAAGGGCCACACTCTTTCTAGTTTGCTATCCTATCGGTACAAATAATTTCACACAATGTATTATTGCAATGACTATGTTAAGTAGATGATGATGACTTACTAATTTTGTTACCTTCCTTGCTTCTCCATACTGTTTATCCCTTCCATTTTTATGAACAGGACTCCCTCCATCCCCAAAATTTGCATGTTTGACTCTACAAGTAACATGATAGAAGTGTGTGGATTTTGGTTAAATGTCTAATATCTTTCAACTTTGACAAGATAGTGTATTCTCGTGGTCAATAAAGACCATAATAGTAGCATTAAATCTGGATGACGAGGCAAGCAGGCAATCTCAGATTGAATTTATATCAAAAGAAGGAAAGATTACACTTGCATGGGACATATCCAGGAATAGAAGTGTTCAAGCTTCATGGGACTGAGTATTTTATTAGGTAATGCACATGATGGGCATGCATGATATCATAGGTGCTCTACCACATAATACAGCTTGTTTCCCCCTACACTATCTAAGGACTCTAGGCGGCTCATATGACTGAACAAAGCAGTGGCAACTTGGTTTAATATTTTCAAACTGACCAAGTCAGATGATGTTCTAGTCTACTTTCTCTTGCCCAGACTCCATTTTTCTTTATCTATTCTTGTGTTTGCTTGACAACCCAGATCTTTTAAAAAACTTATTTCTTATTGTTAGAAACTTTACATTGCTTCCTGCTAGACTGTAACTAGAAATCTCTGTTTACTGTCATCAATAATGATCAACTATATGACTTTTCTGGTTAATTTCACCAGAACCCTATGGTCACCAGAATGCTATCTTGTTGTCCTTTCCAATGTCTCCACTAACTTGCCTTCAAAAACCATCTCGTGATTGAAGCCTTCGTCCTTCCCGGTGTCAACCCATACCATCAAAGCATGACTTCCAATTCAACTCTTTTTCTTGAATTTGAATCATTTCCTCTTTATCGTCATTCTAATTGGAAGCATCTGATACGTGTTCAAATTCATTGCTTTGACAGCGTTGTACTCTTACATTTGATGTAAAACCAACTGATAAACTTCTCCAAAGAGAATGGACTGTCATTTCTAATATGCCTGTGTCAATTTAGAAATTCATGGATATTGGATTTAGCCATTCCTTCATCAGAATAGAGTCCTTCCATCACAATAGAGTACCTCCTCTCCCTTGTTTCATGTGTTGGCTGACTCAAAAAATTTCTGTATTTAAATGTTATTTGAAATATGTTCCAATCTGTTAAGTTCTTGGAACATAGTTTGCTGAAATCCATGGAACTGACCAGTTTTCATAAGTGTTGACATAGTATAAGTTAATGAAGCTTCTGCTTAAGTTGCAGACTTCAGAGCTTGGCATAGTTGGCAATAGCATTGGAATAAGCATATATCATATTTACAGAAGCAAAACATCCTATTCAGGAGGGTTTTTGTTTATCAGAAATCTCTTTTCCTTTTTCGGAGACACTTGTTACTCCCTCCGTTCCAAAATAAGTGTCCACGTTTCTATTTATATTTGTTCCAAAATAGGTGTCCACTTTCAAAAGTAGCTAACTAAATTTCCAAATCTACCCTTAATTAATGCACAAATATTTAAGAGTTGATAAGATAGATACATTAATTAAGGGTAAAATTGTCATTTGGTTAACTAAAATATGTAATAATTATTCCTGTCTAAAACTTGTCCCATTTCTTTTGTAGACACATACTTTGGGACGGAGGAAATATATTTTTATTTCAAAGTATTGCTTTTTTATTATAAAAAACAGATGGTATTTCTTTTTCATATGCAATTAATCATAGCTAAAAAGGCATATAGGGGATTATAATCCCAGCAGAATACCAAACTTACTGTGAACAAGCCTTGTCAACAAGGTGGAATTTTCCTTGGCGCTTCCATTCAACACCATGATGCCATGTGGAGCTAACTTGACATCCATATAAACTAGGACAAAGGAAGGAGACCAAACAAGGAGTTGATGACTATGTGCAGTCATTCTCTATGATAGCCCAAAAATCAGATGCAAATATTGAATGTTATATTTTACGAGGCTATGACTAATTTTTATAGTTGAAAGAAACATTTATGCTAGGCTATGATTATTTTTTATACATGAAAGAAATCTTTTAGAGATCTTCTATGGCATTTTTTTATGTGGTCTGTCCTAGCATACTTTGTACTGAATCATACTGTGATGTACGGCATATCTCATGTCCTTTTTCATTCATTGTTCAATATTCTTGTGTCCTAGATTCCTAGGTGTAGAGGAACCACACCAATCCATCCCAAATTTGGTGGTTAAACTCTATTACGATGACAATACTGTAGGGGAGGTCCTACAGAAAAATAGTTCGACTCCAGGATGATAAAGATCCTATTAATCCAGTAAATAGCATTTAAAAAAATCTGTTTTAAATTGTCAAGTTGCAAATTCTATGTCATGTAAATCTGTAATAAAATTGTTCATCGCCTCACATATCCTAATGCATGTGAAGTGAAGAATATATGCTGTGCGGTAGCCCTTCACAAGGGCGGACCTACATAGCACCATACGGTGGCACGGGCTATTGTTTCATGGTTCCATCGTAGAGGGAAAAAAATTACGTTTCTGAAGGGTGCGACCATATTGTTTTGTTGGATGCCACCATATATTTTTGAATCTGAAATCTTGGTGCAAGTTTTTAATGGCAGAGTTGGTAAATGTTGCTCACTTTGTACAAAAACCCGGGGTTCGAGTCCCACCTTTGTCAAATTTCTTAGTTTTTAGCTTAAATTTTGGTGTTCTTTGTATGCCTGTAATTTTTCTAAAACAAATTATTGCCGGGAATAGAACATGGGTTCCTTCTGTGCAAGGACAAGGAACTAACCAACCAATGTATACTAATATTGTGAAATATTTCTACATACTTGTTTTTATAGTCAAAGTGTGACACCACTTAAAACATTTTCATGCCGGATCCATATCCTTTAAAAGTTTGTTATCATGAGAGAGATGATGGTACAACATTCCAACCAATAGGGCTAGTGGAAACTTAATTTATTGACTTCCTTCTCATTCATATGGACACTGAGATAGTTGATAATTCGACTACTCAAGGAGAGGTTTGCCACTGAAGAGCCATGTTTTAGTCCATTGACTACTTTTGGAGATTGGCTACTCCATTGCCTTGTTTCATCTGCTAGGATTACCCGTATACCTTTGGATTAAAAAAATCTAATATACTAAAAATAAGAACTATGATTGTCTGTGACTTATATCTAGTAGGTGACATCTTTGATAGATTTTTCTTGAAGTATATCATATTATACGGCAAAACTAACACACTTCTTACTTTTGTGAGGCTTAAACCCTTGACCTCCACGGAGGTTGGGCTCTATTGGTTACCCAGGTACCTCTGAGCCAATGACTTTTGGTATCTTTGATAAGTTTACTGCAAAAGAAACCACTATTTTTGTATTTTGGGAGAGTTGGTTTCAATCAATTATAATGGAGATATTTCTTTTGCAATGTGATCACCCATTCTTTTTGGTGCTAGTGCAGTTACTATGCAAGCACAAAAGGTAGCTCCTCCCGATATGATATGCAGGGACAAGTTCTTAGTTCAAAGTACCTTTGTCCAGGAGGGGACAAAAGAGGAGGACGTAACATCTCACACGGTTGGTGTTTCATGAAGATGTTGGTTTTGATGGTAATTCCTTTATCTGATTCTTCAATATGGCAGTTCACTAAAGAGGATGGTAAAACTGTTGATGAAAAAAGGCTTAAAGTGGTCCTCATCCCCGCACCAGACTCGCCAGAATCATCTCCAATCAATGAAACATTGAAGCTGGTACAAAAGAATGATGGCAGAGAACTGAAAGATGATGTAGTTCAAAAACATAGCTCTCATGCCAAGGTAAGAGCTTATTATATGTACCAAGTGTTGATGTAGGATTTAGGTGGACAACAGCTAACATGCATGTCTTACATTTTACGGATGCGATAGGAACTTCTCTTTGGTGTTTATCAGTTATGTTCCTTAATTGTAAATTATTCCAGTTTCTGTTATTTAGTAAATGGGTGGTTAGATAACTACTTTCAACCTACGTCAGGTTGATGAGGGCATGGAAGTGTCCAAAGGAGAAGGTGAAAGTGTAGAGGCAACACGGAAGGAAGAAACTATAAAAAGGAAAGATGAAGATGTAAAAAGGAAGGAAGAAACTATGAAAAGGAAAGATGAAGATGTAAAAAGGAACGAAGAATCTGCAAAACGGAGCAAAGAATTTATAAAAAGAAACAACGAGCCAATGCAGATGAATGATACAGAGGAGTTGAGATTAGTCAAAGATCTTGAAGAGACAAAGTCAAAAGTGAAAGAACTTGAGTCAAAGCTTAGCGAGGTTAGTTATATTTCTTTGTTTTTTAACAATACAGAATAAACATTATTTTAAGTTTTAAACCTAGCGGATTTCTCTTTTGCTAACGTTGCACAAACTGAAAGTATTCTGTTAGAAACTACCCCTGGCCTTCAAACAGCGGTAAACCTAACCTCCACTGCATCATCAAAATAAAACCCGGTATGCCAGGCAAAGGCCATGTGCTGCTGCCAGAAGTACAATAAACAACCTTTAAGGGAAAGTAATATGATCTGTGATAACCGAGTTTGATTATCTATAGAAGATCTATATGTAATTTGAAAGTAATTAATCTGATGCTGTTAGTTGATAATAGAACTGCTTTCTTCTTCTTTATGCTCTACAATGAGATGACATCCTGCTTGTTTTTTTAATTTCCCATCTTCTGTGGAAATAGGAAGGTCCACTGCCCCTCAATTCAGCATTGATGGAGGTTTGTTTAACTGGATTATATTAGCCTAGTTTATAAGGTTCATTGTCGAGCATAGGTAATGTATGGAGAGCATGGACACATTGATTGGATGAACATAATGATGGAATTGCAGTTCCTCTAGAAATTCAGGACCTTATTTCATTCTAGGCAAATATGCAGTCATATTCTCCCAAGAGGCCATAATTGCTGCGAGCAAACATATTAGAAATATTATAATGGAAGAATGTTTTGGAATCTAGTGGTATTTGATCGTCTTTTTTCGGTACTTATGTTATTGAATCATTCTAGGCCAAACTATGTTTAGATGCTTTAGTAGTTTCGATTTCTTCAGTTACATTCTCTTAGCTAGATGTTTGCATCTGAACTAAAAAGACATGGGATCTATTGTCGGGAAAGGAACAAATGCAGTGATGTTAAATTGTTAATTATTGTTTTATATTAAAACTGCTTCATGATTTTACGGTGTACTGCTTGAACTTTACTTTTGTTCTCTAGTCTCGATCCACTGCATCTTCATTTAGCATCTGACAGATTGTGTTGCCCTGGGTTCTATCAAATCGAGTTTATAATTTCATGTTTGAATCAAAACAACATGGAACTTGATCAGATTGCAGTTCCTTCAGTATCTCAAATCATTCTAAGCCGATGAGAGATCTTTTTAGAAATCTAGAGGTATTTTTAACAGAAATCCAGCATTTTGTCCAAGTTCGTACCGAGTCTTTTTTCTTTGGCTACTTACATGTGAGTTTCCCTACCAACCCCAACCACAAACCATCCCTAGCAAAAAAAAAAAACATGCTAATAAAGAAAAAGTAGGGAAAATCAATATCTGGTGTTTGATTGGTGTTAATTTCTTCTGAAGGATACAGGTTATGCTGTTATGGATAGGGATCAAAGTTCCTCTTACATCACCTCTTAGTGAACTTGTCTACCATGTGTTGAGAGCAAATCTTCATATGCCAGTTTGTTCATGTGTTTTGGTGGCTGAAAGTACATGACATATGTCTGCTTGATGCACATAGTAGGTGGGTTCCAAGGTCCCCCTATTCTTGACAAGGATTGGAATGGGTATACCTTTTCTCAATCTCATTCATATCTCTGGACAGAAGACCATGTCATGAAGCAGTTTGAAAACCATCTTTTGAGTTGTAAGCCAAGGAAGGCCATCTTCCTCCCTTTCATCAAACCGAACCAAACAAAACGAGCCCAATATATTCCACCCAGAGGTGTTCTTTTTGTTGGGGGGGAGGAGATGTATCTATACCTCAAAGAGTAGAGCGGTTGTTTCCGTGATGACTTTTGACTTGTGAAAAGTGTGTGAAAGAGAGAAAAACATGTATGCTAAGTTTTGAGAATTTGGATATTAGTAAACAATAGCAATACATATAGAAGCAAGTACAGAAAAACATAACCCAAGGTGAGGAACTAAACACTCCTAGTCTAACTTAGGGCTTTGGTAACGTAAGTCACTAATCCTAACCCCTACTCTCTACCTTCCAGTTCCCTTCCTTCTACATCAGTCTCTGCTACCAGTCTTGCTTCTCCAAAACTCCTTTCATAGGTCATGTAGGGTGAAATGCAATGAAGAGGCTAATTGGCGGATCATCGAAAACAGATTGAAGATTCCGCAATAGACGATGAACAATTGCCTTGAGTGGCCCAGGTATGTATCGTTGAAACTCATCTCCATTCACGTATTAATCAACTATGAAGGGAATCATTTGAACAAGATGAAAAATAGTGAGAATGTGGAAGGGGAGGCTGAAATTGCGGCGGATTATGAGTTAAGCCTTTTGCTCAATTGGCAAGGCACGACGAGAGATGATGATGAGAAATCTTTTTGATTGTTGTTTAGGGTTATTGAAATCTTTTTTATGGGGCTGAACGCTGAAGGCTAACTTACTCTGTTGTTACGCATATTGGTTCTGCTTCCTACTTCTTATGAAGGGATGGGTATTGTTATACCTTGACGGTCAGCAAGTCGATGTAATAGGCTGGAGTAAAGTCAGTACAGGTGGTTAATGCATAGATAGTACAAGGTGTAATAGGTCGGTACATTGCTAGTATAAATAAGGGAGTGTAGATTGAAGAGGGATTTTGTTTTGTGAATTTTGTTTTGGTGATAGTTTTGGGAGAGTACTGGCCTCTCGAAGGCCAGCAACCCTTTAAATCATTCGGTCAACAGTGGGAAAAGCCCTAAAACTTTCTCTGATTTGTTGGTAATTTGTAGCAGTGTGTATCAAAGATCCTCATTGGCTGCTTATTAATTACATATTCGAGGAAATATAGATCTAAGTTTTTAGTTGCATTACATGGGCGTTCTGTATTTTCTTGCCCCTTTTTTGTCGATAAGAAGATTTTGGTTGAGTTAGGCCCTGTTTACTAACCTCTTACCAGGCCAAGAAAGCCTTACCCTGGTAAGAGCAAGTGTTTACCAAGAAAAAGTTATAACCTTTGACCAAGAGTTCTTGCTGACTGAACATCTTACTGTGGTCAAAAGATAATCTGTTGCTTACCATAGTCAGCGCCTCCTTATACCAGTTTTACCCCTCATGGTGAATTGGCGAGAAAACAGGGAAATCCCATATGACCCAATATATCCTTTTTTTTTTCTGATCCTTCGATAAACCTATCGTCCACAGAAAGCATGTAACTTACCCCTTTTGCTTTGTATTCCTTGTCTTTTTCGTCCTCAATAGGGGAAGAGCTTGTGGTGGCAGTGGCACAAGGGTTGGGATGGGGACTGCAGCAAGCGGTTGGATGACAGCTTGGTTTAAAAATGCGTGCATTATGCGCTCTGATGCGCTGGACAGAACGCATCAAAGTGTCTGATGCGATGCGATTCCACGATGCGAACGCATCACCTACGCATCACACGATGCGTGCATCACTTAGGCATCAGCGCATCATGTATGTTGCGTTTTGGGCTCCCTTTTTCTGTGTTTACTTGGGCTTTTTAGTTGGGCTTTTTTTAGTTGGGCTTCTTAGTTATGTAAAATAGAACCTGAGTGACTTTTAGCGATAGAACGTGGACTGACTGTTAGCGAGTAGCGAAGCGACCTAATCTAGAAGCCGACAGCAGTACTGCAGTAGTCGATACTCGATACTTGATGGTCAATACTCAATACCAGCGGTCCAGCAGTAGCGAAGCGACCTAATCTAATGCCACTTTTTTTAACTACTTTATGTTATAAATGAAGTATTTTGATAGGTAAGTATTTTTAAGGTAGAAATTGATATGTAGAATTAATTTATAAATATTTTTTGAATACCGGGCGCATTACGTGCATGATGCGAGCGCATCAGCATCACGCATCACGCATCACGCATCGGCTTCCGGGACCCTTAACGCATCGGACCGCATCGCGCTTTTTAAAACCAAGGATGACAGCATGTGGATGGCTTGTGGCGGCAATGGCCGAAGAAATTAAAGTTGGAAAGTAGTGGGGCTCTCAACTTAGGGGATAGCAAGGGTGCGTTGGCGGTATGGGCGGTGTTTTTTGATTTGGGATTCAACCTATAATAAGAAATATTTTATTTGTTATTAAATACTTGAATATATTGTTATGAAAAAGTAACAGTTTTATTGATAATGGCAACAGATAGTACTACAAAATTATTTATTTCAAATACGTATTTAATTTTTAGTAGAAGTTATTATTTGATAGTCTCTTCAGTTTATCCCAAACAAAGGGGTATAATGGTTAATTTCATTCAATCAGCATTTAATGTATGACAATTTAGTAAACAATTTTTAGTAAACACTTATCCCAATGAGACCTCTTACCTGAGCCAAATCTCTTACCCCAATGAGCATAAATGACCCCTTATTTGATTAACGTGGTATGACAATATCAGCTCTGGTGAAGTTTTTGTTTCAAGTCTTCAACAACCCCTAAAGTTTACTGTGAGTTGTAACTTTTGACTGTTAGAATGGCATCAATGGGCACTACATATATTCATCCATATAGCAGACTAGCTTTTGAACTTCATTGCCTAGTCCATTCACAACCTCTTGCTGTTTGCTGGATCCCATACTTACCTAGATGTGGAGCATAGTCTTTCAATCTCCATTAGCTGCAATATAGTTTATCATATTAATAGGTTAAATATATTAATTATGCCATGTGGATTTGTTCTTTTGGATTAACCAAGTGTTGTGGACTTCCTCAGGCTAAAGCGACTATTTTACATCTATCAGAAGAAAAAAGATCAGCTACTCAAGAGAAGCACTTTTTACAGGGAGAATTGGTTTGTTTTCTCGACCCATTGACACAATTTTTTTCCGAAGTTATATACAACAAAACATTCGCACACTCCTAAAAGTTAGGTTTGAACCCTTGACCTCCAGGGAGGTTCGGGTCTACCTGTAACCCCGGTAACTGAATTCGTATGCCTGTGACTACTTAAAAGTGAGAACGAAGCTATTTCGGTTGATATAAAATGCGAGCCTGTTATATACAACAAAACACTCGCACACTCCTAAAAGTTAGGTTTGAACCCTTGACCTCCAGGGAGGTTCG